GTTCATAGGAGAGTGTGCGTCTGTGTCTGGTATGTACTATATATTTTAAAAAAATAGAGGCTCAGTTGTTAAATCTGGGGGGGGGGGGGGTTCCACCTAAATTACTGCCTTTTATAAAATCGACTAAATAAATAATTTAATAATACGAGAAATACAGAGCCGTGCTCACCCTTGGAACAATCTGGGGTGCACCGTACAATTCCACGCCGCGTTTTCTGCACTTTCCAGACAGCACGGAAGCAAAACGATAGAGGCGTATCCACTATGGCGGCAACCTACTGCGCCTACCCCGCCGCCGCCGCCGCCGCCGCCGCAAACCCTACCAGACGCCGCCTGCAAACCCTAACCGCGCCGGGCGCCCTACCTGCTGCTCGGAAACCCAGCCGCCAACCCCCCACCTTCCTCTCTTTCCGGCTCCCCAATGCAGCGCTGCCGCCGCTCCGCGTCGCTGGCGCTGACCCGCAGGTGAGATCTTCGGATTCTATCCTCGCTGTTGTAAGCTACGAGATTCCTAGAGAATTTTGCCTCTCTGTTCCTCTTTCTTGTTTGAGAGACAGAGGGATTAACTGATTGGAAGAAGTGGTCTTCTAGCAGAAGAAAGCTGAGAAGATTATAATTCTTTTAGCTCCAGATTTTTTTCTTCTGTGTTTATGCTGTGATGTGTTACGTTTAGTGGTTCATAATATTATTTTCAGTGAAAAGTTTCACTTATAGAGTACTTGAGCAAGTAAGGGTGAATTTTGATGTGAGGTTGACACTGGTAATTGATAAGCATTCATTTTACAGTACATATACGGTATGCTCTGAACAAAAAAAATCATAATGGGGAATGTTGTTTTTGCACTCATCAGCTGAACTGAACAAGATTGAGCATAGTGATAGAGCGAGTATTATAGGTATTAAGACACAATAGCAGATATGCATGTTAAGCTACTTTTTCAACTCATGAGACATAATTATTGAATAACCAAAATATTGGCACAGGTACGGCAAAACTGAAATGGAAAATAATAGGTTGATCATCAAAGAAAAATCTGTAGCTTATTGTTATGTATGTGAAGGAGTTGATTTATCAAGTTTCACTAAACTGTTTAGTTTACTGCAGGTTGTAAATGGCGAAGATTTCCCTCCTATGAATGACCTAATTCGACTATACAAGAAAGCCTTTCTAGATGGAAACGAAGATGTTGTTAGTGACATCGAGAAGGCAATCACTAGCATGGAGGAAGAGAGAAGTAAATCAGCTTCTCAGTTTGAAAGTATCACAGCTGAAATAGCTTCAGGGAAGAATAAGTTTCTTCGCTTAAATGCTGATCTAGAGAATTTTCGGAAGCAGACTGAAAAGGACCGTGCAAAGTTTACATCGAATATACAAGTGGAACTTGTACAGAGTCTGTTGCCTCTGGTTGACAGCTTTGAGAAAACAAATGTAGAGATCACCCTAGAGACTGAGAAAGAGCAGAAGATTAGCGCAAGCTATCAAGGCATATACAAGCAATTAGTAGAAACACTGAAAAACTTAGGCGTAGGGGTTGTGGAAACTGTTGGCAAGCCATTTGATCCAGTGGTAAGTATTGTTTACATCCTTCTTTATATATATTTCATCTGAGTGACCGCTTTAAGTTTTATTGCAATATGCTAAAGATTATGAATTACACGCATATTGATACGCCGTTAGGTTTATTTTGGATGTAGTGTGGTGATACGTAGATGATGTAGGCTTGTTAGTTTAACATTATGGTTGCACTCGACAGTTGGATTGCTGGCATTCTGCTGGTCAAACGATTCTTTCATATTTACAACCTGGTTCATATTCTGTAGTGAGTTTATCTTGCATTTTGTGAATTTATATTATCTCTTCGGCTGAAAAAAGTCACTTGATTACTGCTTTGAACACTTTGGACAAGTAGGAACATCACTTTTGTCCTTCTCAAAACAAATTGAAGGATAAATAATAACTACTAGCCTCTAAATTGATTGTGCTGTTGACAGTTTGACACACACGCCTTTGTTTGCTCATTTTAATAAGTACATAAAATTCCCTGAAAAAAAAGTAGTACATAACATGGTTTGGATTCATCATGTATGCACAATGGTTCCACCTGGAAGTACGGAGCCGTGCTCATGCTACTCTTCTTTTTGCATCATATGCAACATAATATGAGTCGATACCCTCTTTTCTTTTTAAGGTTCATGAGGCTATCGCGCGTGAAGAATCTACAGAGTTCAAGGCAGGCATCGTCTCACACGAAGTCCACCGAGGGTTCCTTCTGAGGGAGAGGGTGCTAAGGCCTGCCGCGGTGAAGGTCTCTAATGGTCCTGGTGACCAAAACGTGAGCTCCACATCTTCGGAGGAGCCTGTGGAGGATACCAAAGAGGATGCCGCTGTGTGAATCCGCCAGAAACCTGGCGCCAACATTTACCAAGTCGTTGTAGCTGGAGCACCATTGTTTGGGAGCTCTCGTTGTACTGTTAATATGGAGCAGAGTCATTTATGAGAATGTACATCTATGGTGATCTGCAACTTTGCAAGTATCCTAAAGAATTTTACTTTGGTGCAATCTAGCTTGAGTTCTTAGTTCTTACTGTACACGTGAATACTGGAGGTTTAACCTGTACTACCTTGTTAGCTCTAACCAGTAGTCTTAAGTTTGCTGATGTTCTTAGTAGAGTAGTGCATGGCTCAAGTGGAGGCAGCAGCTCTCAGTTTTGTCTCTCACTACGTCGGCGTGCTGGTGGTTACTGGTGACGGCGAACTAGCTACTGGTGGTTATTGGTGACGGCGAACTAGCTACTCCCTCCGTCACAGTTTAGAAGTCACAGTCAAATTTGCGTGCATTCCCATAATAAACAAGGTTTAAGGCGCATTGCATTTATTTCTAGTAGCTAATAAGTAGTCCGATATACTATTTCTATATGCATGCGTAGTGTGAATCTATTTTTTAACCCATCTCACAACTAATAGATAACCACCTAGGTCCCAGAGAATTTCCAAGCGCGCCTTCTAAACCGTGATGGAGGGAGTACTACGGGTGTGATGACTCCTGGGTCCACGTTTGGCCCGGTCCGACTACTTCAGCAGCAGATGAACACAAACCTTGTTCACAGAACCATGCGAAACAACAAATTTAAATTTATGTATGACATATCAAACTGTTTATACAAAAAAGAACAATCCTTTTAGGGGTGAATACACCATTGAACAAATGAACAAAATGCTGTGGAAACTATGGTACACTCGTGCGTTAGGTCCAGACGACCAAAACACTAACCATCTACTCTAGTGGTTGAGCAAACCGTGCAGACCTTGTCTTCACGGAGCGGCCAAGATGATCCTGGACTGGACGTGTGTTCGTGTTGTGTCCGTGAGAACCATCTACTCAGCAAACCGTGCAGACCTTGTCTTCACGGAGCGGCCAAGATGATCCTGGACTGGACGTGTGTTCGTGTTGTGTCCGTGAGATGCTGCCGGTGCTGCAGCAGAAATTTAACTGTTTATTTCCACCTATACTAGAACAACTCTGTTCATTCATTGAATTCTCGGACAGTTTCAGCAGCAAGATTTAGCGCCACATCAGAAGAATTTGTAGTCCGGAGGCTGCTGATCCCAAACCTCCATAAAACCTGGAAAAAAAAGAGAACAGTTTCAAAAATTGCAACCCAGTCTTGGGGAAGGATGGAACATAATGCCAGGAGCTCAGAAGCATTGTGCCGCTGTCATGGACGGCAGGCTGCATTTTTCAGCAAGCAAAACTAGTAGCATGTTGTTCATTTTCTTTTATTTTCTTGCGAGGGGAACAAAAGGAATTCAAAGCAATCTACACAGAAGAAGTTCGAACTTTGATGATTTTATGCAAACATATGATCCACAGCTCCGGCAACTGACAGCATTCTGGAATGTGTGAGCTGACCCAAACTACGTACATGCAGCTCAAAGTATAAGCTAAAATCTAGTATGAGACACCACCTTTTTCCAATTGTACAAATATTTGTGGTTTGCCGACTAAAGTGAACATAGGCACACTACGGGGCTGTCTGGTTCCCAGCCACACCTAGCTACACTTTGCTACACCTAACCTTAGGCAAGTTTGACCAAGTTAGGTAGGTGTTTGGTTCTAGCCACACCTAAGGCAAGGATTTTTTTATGAGCAGTGAACCCCACATGTCATAGACACCAAAAGTGTGGCAAGATTCCCTTAGGCAAGTCAAAGTGTGGCTAACAATTTGAGCAACTCAACTAAGGCAAGTGTGGCAAAAATCATGTGGCAATATATGGCAAAGATAGCCACAATCCAAACAGCCCCTACATTATCAGCATTTCCACTATCTATGCTGCAAAGATAACCGATATGTGCAGAACACCAAATATGAATTGAACCTTAGTGCTTGCAAGTTTAGAAATTACTATAGAACTTTGGCATATTTTCTGTAGTCATATAAGTTTCAACATTCTACGAAGTAGGTAAATGAGAGGTAGGCTGCACTTCACAGAAACAACAAAACAAATATAAAAAGAACATAATAGAGAAGCATCAATTACCAATATCACCTAGAGAATCATATATTGGATCATCCATGACAGTAATGACCTGCAAGAAAAATATATTTATTCATTACTTGTGAAAGCTATGTGGCATTATGATGGTAACTCCACGAAATTTCACTTGCTCTAGCGGACTGCCAGCACCAGCAAACCTCACCTCTGGATCATTTAGGCCCATCTCGGCATGAAGGTCTGCATGTAATGGTGGGTAGCATGGCATATCAGCACCAAGGAAATCTGGAATTGCGATGTTATAACCATCTTGCGTGCCAGGGAAAATGTTTGTGTTCACACTAGAGCTCATCATATTATCCATGCTTGGATATACCATCTCACTTCTGACAGACAGTAGATTGTATTAGTATGGAAAGATAGATTAAAAAATTGAAGCATGTAGCAAGCATAACAGATATAGAAATATATATCAAGGCAACTTAAGAAACAGGTGTCAACTTATAGTCTTATACATGATTGGTTTGACCACTGAAATGGTTCCCCCATGTTATTGACAGGTGGACTACACAAATATACTGAAGGCGTGGTTGTACCATCTTGAGCATTACTTTGGGATAGTGCCACGCTGCTGCACATATACACAGTAGGTTTGGTTTAGAAAGCAATTGACAAAATGTTCCTTTTTAGCTGAATTACTTCAAATTCCAGTAGCTACAAATAAGTCTCTTGTTCTCTTTTACTGTGAATGCAGTATATCATTATATTAATGCCCTAGATATGAAAAATACAAATCTTGCTGTTGCTGATGCTAAGATGGCAGTGTTTTCCAGGAAATCAGTAATGAAACTATTGGCGAGATAGCTTCCAGCATATTTACCTATCAACAGTTTTTCGAAGATCACTGAGCCAATTACTGCTGATAACTGGCTAGTGGCTACACAAAAATGATTGCCTAAACTTAACTAGTCCGAGACAAGTTTCTTCAAGGCCAGACATGATAAATCCATAATGTCAAAAAGGAAATGAAATGTTCACTCTGTCTTGTGTATCTATCAGCCAATGTTTAGGAAATCGTTAACTGGTAACTGCTCGGCCGGCTTGGCAAGTAGGGGATTAATAGGCGAATTGGTCCATAAATCAGTTAATAGGCTACTTGGTGGCCCACCGAGCAGGGATTAATCAGTCAATTAAATGATTTATCGGACGATATTTTGAAAAATGCTATCAGCAGAATGAAATAGCAGACAGATGGGAGGAGGAAGGAACTTACTTTGGTCTTAAAGTATCAGACACACTAGGTTCAATTGGAGGGTCATCTTCAATATCAATTATTTGAATAACCTTATCATTTAACGGAATTTGGGAAAATCTGTCAGTGTTACTAGCATTGTTACCCACAGTTGTTCCAAAATCAAAAGGCTGCTGATTTTGCACCTCCATTGAACATACAACATTGGAGCACTGGCCAAAACCAGGATCATTTCGTATATCAGCAAGCTCTGGACTACCAATGAGGTTGAGATCACATATTTTAAATGAGCTAGATTGACCAAGTTCTTCCTGTTTTATCGTGACAACAGCTTCATCTTTGATATTAGGTAATAATTCCACACTATCTGTTGTTTTCCCTTTATCAGCTGAATCAATCAAGTCTTCATGTTGTGGTGGTGTATCAATATTGTAAATTTGCACTTCTTCCCTCACTTGAAGCTTCGAACAATCGTGCTGAGAAGCCAGTGTAGGATTCAGTCCATCACACTCCTTAATTTCCTGAACTGTGTAATGTTGTGCAGTACTGTTCTGTTCTTGCACATCTCGTATCTCAGTTTGTGCTGCTGCTTCTTGGAGTCCCACGTGTTCCACCATTTGATTGCAAGCAAGACTTGGGTCAGTATGTTCTAGGCAGACAAGGTGATCTTTATTGTCTCCCTGGACATTAGTCAAGGAGCTGTCATTTGCTGATTCATCAATCACCATCGGAGGAGCCAGATCTACCTGTTTGGCCAATGCAGTATCTCTATGGGTTGATGCTCCATTCCTATGAGCAGGTATTGATCGTGGTCTTGTTGGGGCTCTTGCAAAATTACAATTGCTCAGCAAATTCTGACAACCACCATGCAAATTATTTTCAACGCTTGATCCCTTCTCATATTCAGCCTTGTCATCTAAACTCTTGTCATGTTCAGCCTTCTCGTCCATAATACTACCATCATCAGGCTTGTCATCTGAGGGCACTGGCGAATGATTTATCTCCCCCTCCTCAACAACACCAGAAGAAGCATTAGTATGAATACTCTCACTGTTGATCCCTTTCTCAACGACCTCCGAATCAGACACCTTAGCATCCTCCTCCATTTTATTAGCCTCATTCTCATTCTGCACCTCTTGCACGACATCAACATCCTTCCTGACATTACTGTTAGAGCTCACCTTTGAGCCAGTATCCTCCAACTCTGACTCCCCCACAGCCTCCAGCTTCGATGTTGGTCTGTCCCCGGCCACGCCCGAGACACTACTTCCAACCTCATCAATCCCAGCACTGGCTCGCCGGTCCCTCCTATACCCAGGAGCCCTATCCTCCTCGTCATCATCACCATAATTCCGGCTATCCAAATAATCCCTACTCCTCTCCCTGTCCCGGCCCCACTCTGAATTCCTGTTGTAAGCCCCAAACTTCCTCTTCCCCCTCCCATTGTAGTTACCATTGTCACCGCCATTGTAATCACCACCATGGTTCCGGCGTGAGCGGGGGTTAGGATTACCGTACTCATCATCAAGACGCTGTCGGCCATTCCGGCGGGAGTCGTAGAACGCGGGGGCTTCCTGAGCCTGCGGCAACGGAGGCGCGGGCGGCATCTGACCCCACCCAGCTCCACCGCCCCGCTGCAGCGATGCCGGCGGGAGCACGCCTTTGGCCACCAGGTACTCGGCGGCGAGGCGGCCGGCCTCCATGAGCACCTCGTACCTGTGTCGCGCGGGCGCGCCCGGCTGAATGGACGGCGGCGGCGGTGGGGGCTGCCGATAGAAGTGCTTCTGGCCGCGGCCGCCGCGCGCGAACGGCGGCACGCGGCTGCGGCCGCCGCCGTGCTGCGGGTACTGCATCCGGGGGTGGTCGAATCGGTGCGGCTGCAGGCTGACGCCCTGCTGCTGCCCCCGATCCATCCGCGGCAGCGAACAGATGCAACGCGACAGAGAACACGCAACCGAAGGGAAATGCGAGAAATCGCGCGCGCGCG